TTATACCGTCAGATAGCGGGAAAAATCCTCTTCAGAATGCAGTACTGAGAAGCAAGGAGATTGAGTTTTTGATCAGCAATGAATGTACAAAAAATAGTTACACAAAACGCTGAGAACGTTCCGGACAACCTAATAGATATAGCTTAGGAAGCGTTTCGTTGTGGGATACTCCCAATCGAAACAAACGTCATTCTGGCATTCTGCGTTGGACAAGAGCATGATTACAATTGCTCCGAAACGGCAATATCCCATCTATCCCGAGCAGCCGCCGACACGTCCACATGAAGTATGCTAGTACGTCCTGGGCACGTGACAAGAGACGTAGACGTATTTCGCCAATAGGCATTGCATGTGACGTCGCGCCTGCACCGGGTCATAAATGGCGACCAGGCAATGTAAAACCAAAAATAGCCATGAATTTGTACGGTTTCGTAGCCCACGTGAAATCCCGTACTTCAGTCTACAAGCTAAGTTGAATTAAGAAAACGCCGTGCCCATGTCGCGCGCGGCGGAGCGCCGAATTACGATTCTGTGACCGTCTCCCGTACGTCCCTCCTCACCTGTAGTCGGGTCGCCTTGAGTATCAGGCTCCCAGAGGTCATTGTACAGGCTAAACTGCACCCTGAATGCCACAACGATTTTCAATGAAAGTCGAATGCGCGGTGCAACCCAAAAAGAAAACTTACTAGATGAGAATTTCATCCTATAGGAGACCTCAGGTGCTCCTAGGAGACAATTCGTCTCCATGCAAGATTATCGATGATTTTTTCCATCACCAGAAAGTTGGAAGCAGCAGGAGTAATCGAAAGTACTTCGCTTGCTTCATCTATGACAGCTTCGAGGGACAATGTACTAACGTGCAAGGTTTCTCGGAGTGGAATGGTATAATTCAACTCTGCGGTTTCGACTGGATTTAGTATTCTTTTGCCTATATCTATTATGAGACACTTATCACAGTCATTTCAAGTGTTTTTTCATTGTCACCACACTACTCAACCACCAGTTTTCTGACATTAAAGACTCGGTCCGCGATCAGGTATAGAAGTTGAAAACGTGGCATTGGGAGGGTAGTGTGGTCCGCGACGAACAACCTTGTACCGGTTTCGCGGCAAAAAATTGTAAGGGAGGGGCGATAGCGTAATACAGGTTCAGTGACGCCTCCTTTTTTCCAGTGACTCCGCCTCCAGACTCGGCCTACAAGACCCGATTCTGTGAAAAAACGAAGCTGCAGGAGGCAAAAGCTTGAAAATGCGGTCGCAAAGTTGTCGGCTGTGCGGATGAGGGCGGAGTGTAGGAGATGGAGTTCATTGGGCACGTACAAACTGGGATCGAAATGGGGTTCTATCTAGGGCAGGTGGCATGTTTTTTCTGCTTTTTTTTCTTCACTATCGAGTTACACAGCACCTTGTCGTCTATGCGAACCCATATCCGCAGTCTGTGATGGCGAATGATCGCGGGGTTGCCTTTAAGTCTCATTTGCTGATCAGCCTCAATTGTGTGACGTTCAACAGTTGTACATCTGACTAGAAGGCGATACAAACCACTTCTTACTTCCACCTGCTTGCTTTTTTACCTCTTTCTGAGAAACCTGTAGCCTATGGGCTACGGGCTGAGCAG